CATATATGAGATATATTACCCGATATCGGAGGTTCCATTGTGGAACTTAATAAGCTTGACCAAAGAGATATGTTTAATGCTAATGGATACACCACTCAAGAGATAAGAATGTGACTATGATTCTGTTTCTGTATATGAGCATGATTATGTTTCTGTTCAGTAAGAGACTTGGAATTAAATTGTGATGGGCAACATTCATCTAAATCCTTTACTCTGTTATTATTCACTAGGTTGCCGCTCACTATTTATATTATGTATATAGGTGACCAGGCACGTGATCAGGGCCAGAGTTGATGGCCTAAAATTCCGTTTTGACTGCCACCCTTTGCGTCTCCCGAGGAGGTTCCGGATCAAGTCAAGCTATGTGGCCATTTCTTTTTGAAAGTTCAAAACTGTGATCTCTCTTGTTTTATGAATAGTTATTTTTAATTATCTGTATATGGGGTTACGTATAATTGTTGTATCTATGTGACGTCATGTGTATGCTTATAAAGTTCAAAATTATTTTGTTCCATGTATGTCTGCATAGCTCAATGGACGTTGTATTTTGTATATTTGCTTCCACAGCCCCTTGATTACATATTATTTTGTTTGGAGGCCTTTGGTAATCTAAGGATTACTGGCCGGTTACGACACTAAACCTATAGGGACGGGTTTGGGTCGTGACAGAGTGGTATCAGAGCACGTGTTATACCGCACATACGAGTTCATATGAGCTTAGGGTGTCCTAGAAAGAATTAAGCACATGTCACCAGCATGTGTGAGTGTGTGGTAATCTTTATACATGTGAAAACTGACTTTGACTCTGGACAAATGAAATCAAAGGTTTTTATTTTATTTTATTTTTTACCGGATGATGGTAAAAGCTTTTATGTTTTGGCCAGTACTTGCGCTTGCATATCTATTAACTCTCACACACACACACACACAGAGGCTGCTACCAGATCAATAAAAAAGCTAATGGACTTTGTTTTAAACTTGTCATTGATCAATAAAGATTGCTACCAGATCCTCCTTTTTGCTGGTGGTTGATGGCTGTTGCTTGTTGGTCTGTTGCAGCTGCTGCCGCCCTCGGGGCTGATGCTTGCTGGGCGGCTGCTGCTGCTGCTGCTGCTGCTGCAATGTTGCTGTGAGGGGGCTGCTACTAGATGTTGGTCTGCTGGATAAGTTTGTGGGTGATTTTCATGCCGTTTTGCCTGTCTTTGTTAGTTTCATGTTTTCATTTTGTTATATGTTGTTTCTGATGTGGGTTCACAATTTGGATGTATTTGGGTATTTTAGTGACTTTACCCTTTTAGGTTTTATACATTCTAAAAGCAGTATTAGTAGTGTTTTTTTTGCTTGCACATCAACTTTAGGTGATTTCATATCAATGTTATTAGTTTGTAATAGTGATGCCTGAGGGATGCCTCTTGTAAATCTGTAAATCTTATAAAAATATATAAATTATTTTCAATTATTTTTGTTAGTAAATGTGTCGTCAAAAGTTTATTTTTGCCCACTCATATTGTGTTGCTAGAAGTGTATTTTTTGTTAATGCCAATTTGCTGTTGCCAAAAGTAAACCTTTATCGACAAACAAATCGTCGACAAATGGCAATATTTACCGACGTAAATGTGTTGCCAAAAGTTTACTTTTGCCCACTCATGGTGTGTTGCTAAAAGTGTATTTTTTGCCAATGCTAATTTGTCGTTGCCAAAAGTGAAGTTTTATCGACAAACAAATCGTAGGCAAATGACAACATTTACTGATGTAAATGTGTCGTCAAAAGTTTATTTTTGCCGACGCATATTTTGTTGTTAAAAATATATTGTGTCGCAAAAAGTGCCACACAATCATCATATTTGAATGACTTTTACCAACGCAAGGTAAATTGCCGAAGATGGATGAAGGCTTTTATCGTTGACTATGTTCGTTGCTAAGGTATTACTTTTACCAACGCAATGATAATTTCATCAGTAAAAACTTTTTCCGGCTCACTTTTGCCTACGGGTTGCCAACATAGCTTTGTGTGTCGGCAAAGCTCTTTGCCGACGAATTTTCCCTTTTAGCAACATATTTTGTTGCGTTGCGAAAAATGCAATTTCTTGTAGTGAAAAATGTCATTCTATTTTCAACCTTCTTTTTCTTCACCTCTTTTCTCTCTCGCTTTCTCTCCTCCCCTCAACCACCACCCATATCCATCGCACCACCACCGCAGTCCCTTCCCTCACACGCCATCCTTGAACCTCCTCCCACATCAAATTGATTCATCTCCAAAATTATATTTTACACACACACATATATATATATATATATATATGTACAGTGAAGATGAGATTGTATATGTATAAACTGAAACTAGTTCAATATTTCTGTAGGATATTCCTTATGTTCTTTCTTTCTTTTCTTCTTTTTTTTCAATGGTGCCATTGCTTAAAATCCTTTACTTATAAATATTTTGGCGTAATTAAATTGTCACATATAATAAATTTAGTGGGAACCAAACTGATGAGTTATATTTTGATATGGTCCCAATCATATTGTTTTTCCACAATGAAGCTAAATTAGTTGATTATAACCCCCTTTTTTTTTTTCGTTTTTGGGTTGCAGGAAGATTCATGTCTTCATAAAGTTCCCCTAGATAGTACTGTAGCTTTGGGCTGCACGAAGATTCATGTCTTCATAAATTTCCCCTAGATAGTTCTGTAGCTGTTCTCTCTCTAAGCAGTAGATATAGTGGAGATAAAGACGGGCTCCCCTTGCCAGAGTTTAATGAGCTCGTGAAGGAATTTGATTTGGCTACAACCAAAGCTAATTTTTGTCCCAAAAAAGAGGTGTAGACACCCCACTTTGATGCATAAACGCCCATATCGTTTAAACTTGACAAAGGTGAGGATTATGAGCAAGAGATTAAGAACCTAAAGAACATGGTCAGAATTGTCCGAGAGCGGGAGAGAATCCTTGAGATCCAATTGCTCGAGTACTATGGTCTTAAGGAGCAAGAAACGATTGTCATGGAGCTTCAAAATTGATTGAAGATAAACAATGTGAAGGCGAAGCTTTTTAGTCTCAAGATTGAATCCTTGTAGGCAGATAATAGAAGATTAAAGTCACAAGTTGCTGATTATGCAAAAGTTGTTGCGGAGCTTGAAGCTGCCAGAGCGAAAGTAAAGGTGTTGAAGAAGAAACTCAAGTATAAATCGGAACAGAACAAGGAACAAAGTTTGAAATGAAGAGAGAGAGACAAAGATGATGAGGTTGCATATGTATATATATGTATATGTATGTACACACATAAAGTTTGAAATGGAGAGAGAGAGAAGAACAAGATAAATATGAGGGTATAATTGTTAATTTACAACTTTTGTTAACAGAAGTTAGTGTGCGTTTTAGTCCATCAATCACAGGGGGTTATTTAGTGATTTTTGAATGTTAGGGGGGTAAACCGCACCCGGCCCAAACCACATGGGGTAAAGTGAAATTTGTCCATTTGGATATTAAACTTTAAAAATTCATAATTTTTGTCGTACATATTTTTTTAAAATAAAATTTATACTTTTAAAACCTAATTAACGAGATATATCAAATAAGATCTCACTTAAATATTTAATTTTATAAAATGAAAAATAAATTTGACTGTTTGAATGTTCACCTTGACTATGTGAATATTTCATAATATGAACATTTGTATTAAATAAATTTGACAGTATAAATGTTTACATTGATAGTGTGAACATTCACACTGTCAAATTGATTTTTTATTTTTATTTACGTTGTCAAATTTATTTAATATGAATGTTCACATCATTAAATATTTACACTATAAAAGTGAACATTCACATGCCTTTCACCCTATTAATATTAGAAGTATTTTGGTAATTATGTGACCTATAGGACTTATTAGAATATAAAAAAAATAATTAAGATTAAGTGACACATAAATAGATAAAGAAAGATTTATAAATACAATTGGTGGATCAAATGTTCAAATAATAGAACTTATTGAAATGGGCCAAGCTTCTCTCCAGTTCGATCTCGGAGCGTGCTTTTGGGGCCATTGGGGGTCCACCACATGTCTTTTTTTAATGATCCAAACCGTTCAATGTGTGGAGCTCGTCGACTACTTTATTCCTGTAAAACATTACGTTGATCGGATATCCATAGCTACTTAATCGGTTCAGATTTCTGTGAATGGTAAATATAATTTTCAAAATAATTTTTTGATAAGCATCTGATCCGATCAAATAACTATTGATATCCGATTAACGTGATTTTTTACAGAAATAAAGTACTCAATGAACTTTACACATTCAACAGTTCAGATTATCAAAACATGACCCATGATAGGCCTCACAAATCCAACAATACCGTTCAGTATATTCAAATCTAAGAACTTGCTAGGGAGAAATTAAAATACAAATAATTGAAAGATAATCGATGTTAGGCATACTTTGACAATTAAGTTAAAAGTTAGTTTTTAAAATTTTTGACATTTTTAAATCATATTACTTTATTTTTTTATATATTTTATTTAAAAAAAATTCAAAAAATCAACTTTTAATCTACTCCCAAAACAGGTCACTCTTAGGGGTGGTTTGAGATGTTATAAATAAATGCACTTTTTGACCTTTTATGAAATATAGGTTGGGTTTGGGTTGGGTTTGAAGTGATGTGGTAGAGAGGTGATGTGACTTAAATAAGATGATGTGACTTAAATAGGATAGTTTGAGTAATTCTATGTTTAGGACTTTGTGTTATTCTTTTTCCATGGAACTATGCTTCAATAACAAATTGCACGGTAATAACACTACAAGAAAAATGAGTTTAGACGGCATTTTTTTAAGCGTCACTTTTATTATTATTTAACGACGTTTTATAAAAACGTCGCATATTGTTTTAATAAAACGACACCGTTTTTAAATAAGAGGCGTTTAAAACCGCCTCCAAATGTGTTGTACCTCACGCGCCTATTTTGAATCTTAGAGTACGTGTTAAAGCTTTGAAAACCCTCATTTTGAATCTCATGCCTTCACAATCGTCACGTCTCTCTCTTGCTCACCCCCAATTGCTTCTAAACCCTTGAGAGCGATTTCGATTCAGAGCGATTTTGTTTCAGATTAATCTTTGAAATTCATACAGATTCATCAGAGCGATATCGATGAAGCTCCACTCTCTCTTTCTCTCTCTCTCTCTCTCTCTCTCTCGATTCATCCTTTGTTCTCTGCGATATCGATCTGAAGCTCTGGGAGATTGTGAAGAGAGAAGAGGGGTTGGTTTCGATCGCAGAGGAAATGATCTCAGGAGAGGTTGTGCTTGATTTCTCAGATCGGTCTCAGAGCGATTTCGATTTTGAAGTTCTCTCTCTCGATTTCGAAGTTTCACCACGAGGTATTGATCTCTCTCTCTCTCTCTCTCAAGCTCTTCCTTCCCGTCTCTCTCGATTTGGTTATTGAGATCTATTACTTATTTGTGTTGTGTGTGTGTGTATATATATAAATGTTTGGTTTCTTCGTTTTCTTTCCCCCCACTATGTCACTATTTAGCTTACCTGAAATCTTAGTTACATTTTTTCTAACCTTCTAATATGTAAAATTTTTATTTCCTCAAACTCCTCATTTATCACCCTTATTTTTCGAACCTTCTAATATGTAAAATTTTTATTTCCTCAAACTCCTCATTTATCACCTCTATGTAATTAGCATTTTTTGTTTCTATGAAGAAATGATTGATTGAAAATCTAACAGTATAGATGTTCAGTATTACAATATTATTCTTAACAAGGAGATTCTGATATTGAAGTGATTGGGCTTTTAAAAACATTTTCCAAGAAGAAGTTGATAATATTTTCCAAGAAATTTTTTTATTTTTGGACATCACCTGTAAGGCCAGATAGCATAATAGGCATTTATTTTTGTGACAAGATCACCTAAGACTAACACAAGCTCAATCTAACACTACTTGGTGCTGCAACATCATCCAGACACCATTTTCAAAATGATACAAATACTGTTGAGGAGTATCAGAGGAACTCTCAAGTATTGTGTTGCATAAATAAGACCTATGAGCTGCCCCTTAAATGACTTTGCCTTGCCTCCAGAGAAGTCAGAGAAGCTCCACCCTCTTGGACCTAGAAACCACTCCTCATTTAGTATTGTGAGAGCATTTGCTAGGAGCATAAAGCCTTCAAGCAGAGTCCAAAAACCCATTTTCTTCATGATGAAAATCTTGTTTAGCAAAGACTTGCAATCTTCAAGAGAACTTGATTAGAAGTTAAGTATTTCCACAAACACATAAACCCAACCACCTAATCTTCAAGAGAACAAACAAGAGAACATATATATAAAAATTTAGAGGACCAAATTAAAAGACATTTTTAGAACTTTAGGCTAAAAGTTAAATTTCAAAAAAATGCCGCTGTGTGTACGGGAATGTTTTGATAAACAAACAAGAGAACAAAGATATAAATGTGTGTATATATTCGTTATTTTTGTATAAATTTAAATGTGTATGTAAATCTGGATTCTACTAGTTTAGGAGGATCTATCAACGGGTTTTTAGTATAGGAGCTCTTTTCTTTCTTTATTATTTTTTTTAAAGTTCCTACATTAGCAATGAAGAATGTTGTAAGAAGTTTGTCCATTTGTTATGCCACTAGCACTAGGTTTACTCCAAGCCAACATTTTTGCATTTGGTTGGTACTTTTTAGTGGCATGAAAATGATGTATCAACAGTCTGTGATGTTCAGGCACCGATACAAGTGGCACAAGGCAGAACTGAAGAGCTGGTGAGTTTTTATTACCAATCACCAAAGAAGAAAAAGATGCAGAGCTGTTGAGTTTTAACAGTTCAACAATCTTCTTCTGTAATTGAATTTGTGAATACATTTTGTTACCTAGTGCGTCTGGACTTCTTTGTTATTCTATGCTTAATTTGTGTAGAAAATTGTTGTTAATCAATGCATACAAGTTATGCTCTGTTTGGATGCAATTTTTTTTTTTTGAGTTCAAACATTTGTAAAGCATCTATATGTATATGGGTTCATTGATTGTTTAAGACCCATTGTTTTGTGTCTTTTCTTTTTAACAATAACAATTCATTACTAATAAAAATGAAAAAACAAAAGAAAAAAATAATGGAGTTTTAAATATAGCCGTATGCATTTTCCATGCCGTGCGGTTTACAGGTATGTTAAACACAGTTTTCCATTAGTGTCTGCACAAATGCTGTAAACATTCTAACATTCATGAAATTGTAACTTTTGCAGCTCCTACATCAATGCCAAAATAGCTACTTCTTCCTGGAGTTCCAGTGCTTTTAATACTCGCAGGATTTGTCGTATGGTGTACTTACATGATATTCATGGTTAATGACACACCAAAAGGTTGCAGATATATTGGACAGACATGGATATTTCTGGCCTCTTAACTTCTGCTGGTATCAATACAGGCTTTTGCACTATACTTCGTTTTGAGAAAACAGCCCAGCAATGCAAGTGTGTACTTTGGACAAAGGCTTGCTCAGATACGGGCAAAACGCAACAACCATTTCTCTTTTGACAGATTTGTTCCATCCCCTAGTTGGATAGTAATGACCTGGGAAGCATCTGAAGGAGAAATATTAGCTTCTGGGGGATTGGATGCAGTGGTTTTCCTCAGGATTGTTGTTTTCAGGTAATTATATCTTGACTTAAACTTGTAAAGTGAAAGTTCATTCGTGTGTCGTAGAGGTGGATGTAGTCTTGATTTGGAGAATTACTAGGAATGACTGATATGTGGAGGTGTTTTGTTGTTACATTGCTGGGTAATGTGATTGTTTCCATGAACTACATTGATAAGGGATTTATTGTTGACTGCCTATCACAAAAAAAAAAAGAAAAATAAATATAAAAGGGTTTCTTCTTTTCTGGTGCCTCTACGTTGGCATCCTCTTCTTCTTCTTCTTCTTCGCAAATGTCAGTGCATTTATAATATCAATTAATGTTTGAGTGAAGTTGCAAAATCTGTAATTTTCTTCGTCTAACACGAAAATGTGAAGATAGCAGCTATTCACAAGAATGGTATGATTGGTTGAAGAAAAGCTTGGCTACTCTTGTGGTATCCATCTTATATTATTTGCTTATGTTTTATTCTATTTTCTATGACTATGAATAAGGGATTTTTCATTCTAGCTTATTTCAAACAATTGGGACCAAGATTTTGTTGAGTTGAATATTATATTATTATTTGGAGCTGCACACGAACTGAGCAATTGATAAAAAGTTCATATGTAACTTGCTTATGAGCTTGTTCAAGGTTCTTTCCCTTTCAACAAAGGACATTTTTTTTGGAAGGAATACACTATATATTGCTTTAGCCACAATAAAAGTAATGATAAGAAAAACGATGCAACTACAAGTTGAATGTCTTATGCTTCTGCTGGCATCATTAGCATTGTGCTTTAATTTAATTTAATTTAATTTAATTTAATTTTTTGAGCCATGTATAATATGAGGATCATGTTTTTGACAATGAATGACAAATACTGTAATTTTTTAGTGCTTCACTTCATACATGGTATCTCACAGTTTTTATTTCTTTTGAACTTTTAGGATTATAAAATCCACAGAGATGAGATACATACAAAACTGGTTCAAATAATGAGAGAAAGGTTATTTGTTCATTTGCAGGAAGTTGGCTATTTTCAACGTGTCTTAACTTCCTTCATTTTGTTTTGTGAGTTGTTATTAACTTCAAATTGAAACTTCTTGAATTTTTTCCCCTACATATTGCCAGCATTAGGGGGTGTAATTGCCATTGATTTGTTTCGATATTGCAATCCTACATATTGCCAGCATTAGGGAGTGTAATTGCCATTGATTTGTTCCGATATTGCAATATTTGAAGAAAATTTTTTGCCTTGGAGGCCCCTGTTAAAAGTGTACCAATAGCGTAAAAATTCGCTCACTGAAATTATTGATGTAAATGTTTTGTCTAACATCGTTGATTTGAAGATAAATCAATGAACCTCTGATATTCTTTTAATTTGTAAATGTTAAAAGATAAATCAGCATTAGGGGGTGTAATCGCCATGTAAATATTTTGTAAAAATTCCCATCTCACATATTTTTAGTTTCTGGTTTGCCTACTCTTTATTTATAATGTGATGCAGCACAGTTGGCAACTAGCACAAATTAATTAGTTATTTAGGAAGTATTTCTGTCCTAGGGCAATTCATCATTACATTTGCTGGAACTGTAGGCCAAGAATGGTTTTACAGAGCAATTAGTAACACTATTAAACTCTGTAGGGTAGACTAGGGCTTGACTTTTGGGATTTGATTTTCTTTCTTCTATTTTTGATCAAGCCTGGTACTTCTTTGGCCTAAGAACTGAAGAACAACTATAGTGCTGGAAATGTTCCTTCACATTTCACAGCGAATGTAGACTGAATATGTTGTTTTGTTTTCGATTAATTGTTTTGAATTAAGGCATACATACAAATTTCTGAATTTTATATTCTTCATTACTAGGTTACTTAATATTATTTTAAATTTTCATACAGTGTGTCAGGTCACTTCTCTCACAGATGACCTACTTTGTTTTCCTTCGGCTTTCCCTGTTGTAGTTGCAATTTACCTTTGTATTGTTTTCCTCTTTTCTCTTTTGTTTTTCTCTTTTAACTTCTAATTTTATTCATAAACATAAAGCATCAAAAGAAGGTAGAACTACTTACCATTAATTTTGATGTACTTTTATACCATTTTCTGTTTGTGTAATTAATTACTATGCAGAGTGACTCTTCTGTTTATGGGAGCTATTCATTCCCTCTAATGTTTGATAAATTGCCAGAAGTGAACCAGGAAGGCTCTCAATGGACAGATTGTGAGATTAGAGATGCTATCAACTTAATTTATGAAAATCTACACAAGCTGGATTCTTACTTAAATGTCATTGTAAGAGTCTGAACATTCTTACGTATGCTTTTTGATTTTTGTTCAACGTTTGTGGTTGTGTTTTATTACTAAGAATTGCTTGTTTCTAAAAAGGATTTTGAATAATTATAAATGTTATGGAGTAGAATGGGATTCTGAGAAGTATGATTTACTAAGATCTACCCATAATCTGTCACACTACTGTAGTACAAAATTAAGTAAAATGTAGTGCCTCTTTCCACATAAAAGGATATATTGACTGCAATGAATATATGTGGAGGTGGCAACTGGTATAATTTTTGCTAACTGTTCACATTTTCCATAGTTTCAAGCTCTAAATACTTTGCATGGTTCGATTGCTTATGCTTGGGATCTAGTTTTAAATTTTAGAATATTTTATATATCAATGCACCTCTATGGGCATTTTGATTTTTTTCTTTTTCTTTTTTATTTATTTATTTATTTATTTATTTGGAGTAGCAACTTTATCATCAATAAACTGAAACATAAGCTATGAGTTTCCCAGTCAAACTTCTGGAACTAGTTAATTTGAGCTTTTTAGAATTGTTCCCTTAGAAGATGAATTTAAGATCCTACATATTGTTATAACTCTTCATAAATCAATTTCTCTCTCTCTTACGTATGTGTGCATGTCGTGGTGTGGCAATGATGGGAGACATCTTGGAAGATCCAGCAAAGGAGCCAAACAAGGATATGTACATGATGACTATTGAGCCAGAAGATGCACCCAACCAACCTGAGCAAGTTTGCTTGTTTGATGTGCATTTCAATTCCTTTGATTTAGTCAAATCTTGATTAGATAACCAGTAGTATTTCAAGAGGTTGGGTTGGATTTTTTAGAATCTAAAAAAGAAAGAGTATATTGAGCAACTGTAAATTGGCCAAATTAGTAATGAAACACCATAAAACAAAGGACGGAAGACTCATTCCTCTAAGTACATACACTACAAAAAAATTGACTTTTTGCGACGGTAAAATACCGTCGCTATTGAAAGCAAAAGGGGTTGAGTCTCGAGGCTGAGAGCGATCCTAAGCTGCATAATCCCAAGAATGATTCCACATAGGTCTTCGCAGGACCGCGCAAAACATTTTTTGAAATCTTTTAAGAAAGAGACTAGTCACTCGCGCTGAAGACAATGTAGAACCAACCTAGATCAAGCTAGGATCCTTCTTAGTACTCATTTAACAAACATGATTTTATTCATTAAGGGCTTAGCATGCCTCTCTTTCTCTCAGTTGATCAAATTTTTGCAAACTCGAGGAATTCCTTCCTCTTTGTTTTCATCACAATGTTCAAAAAGTTTTGAAAAACTTAGGTCAATGCAATAATTTGAAGGCACAGAAAAGTGAAAAGCACTATTGTTTCAACAAATCTTCTAGTACAACTGGCTCAAGGCAAAAACAAGCACAAAAGCATGAAAACCACTGCTGCTTCATTCAAAATCTGTTGGCACAACTGGCTCCCTAGCATAAACAGACTCAAAAGAAAGAGAAAAGACAAACACAAAACACGCAAGTGATGTCTGGAGTAACACCCTCGAAATCACCTGACTCCTATACAACGGGACTGACTCAATACCACAAGACAGACCCCAAACAAAAAGACTGACTTAAAACAAAGAGACAGACTTAAAACAACACAATAGAACTAACTCAATACCCAAGCCAGAGCGTGGAATAACTAGCATTTGCAAATGCTCAAAACAGTGCGTGCCACACGCCACATCTAAAGTAAACTGAGCGCCGCCCACAGGTGGTTCATCCCTCGATCACATACTTGTACTATCTCCCAAGTTCACTGATCCAATACCGATAGACTTTGCAAGACCCGGCGGGACGATGACCTTGTTATCAATCAGATCTTGTATTTTGTGATGAAGATGAAAACAAAGGTCAGTGCCATGACCGGTTTGTTGATGGTAGGCACAGTACTGGGCAGCATCATGACTGGCTGGAAGATGACCAGGAAGAGGCCGAGGCTCAAGGGGTTTGAGATGGCCTTGTTCAACAAGGATTTGAAAAGCCTTGAACAAAGGCTTATAGAGGGCATGGAAGACCCTCTGGCCTCGGGGTGGGTACTTTGAGGTTTGTGATTTTTTACTGGATGCCCCAGCAAAGGGATTGATAGGCGTCGACTGGGTTTGTTGATCTCTTCTGAGTGCAGGATTAGAGCTGAAAGGAGCGTTTCTGGTACAACAACCCTTTTCCTGGCTTGCCCCTTGATTCAAACTATCCCCAACTTGAGTGGTAAAAGTGTCATTCACAGTCTTTGCAACAACTGCGAGAACTTGTTGTTTGTTCAGCCCTTCCACTTTCAAAGCCGCCACAACCCACAAAAGGTGTTCATGGGGATCAATGCCTGCCCCTACCTTGTTCTTACCACTTGCCTCCACCTTTTCAACGGATCGAGTCGCTATATCAGAGCGGAGCCCAGTTGTTGTCGACACGCCAACATCCAGATTTGAGATGGCTTCAGGTTGGCCCTTTTCAGTTGTAGCTTGCCCCAAGATTGAGGAG